TCTGTTTGCCGTATCTTTCATTTTTTTTTTTTTTGGAAAAAGGTTCATTACATTATAGTTAGTTTTAACACACTAATATGGCCTATTTTAACACGCAATAGGCATTTTAATTAGCACACATGTCTATGATTTCAGAGGAAGATTATTTTTTTAAGGGAGGAAAATACATGACACCTAATCTCTTCCACCTTAAAATGACTAAGTTCCAGCTCTGTGTTCATTCAGGCAGAAAAATAACATTCAAGTGGCTAAAACCTTTCTATTATTATTTTTTTTATTTTTTTTTTAATGAAAGTATTATAATCAGTTTGACTTGTGACAATAGCAGCTGGGAATACTTCCAAGCACCAGGTCACATGTGCCAGTGGAGTGCTTCTGCCAGGCCTGTTTTCATGTATAGCTTCCAGGTTGGCACTTAGATAAAAAGAAGCTTCTAACAATTAAAAAAGGAGGCCTCTCTGCAAATGATAGTTCGCAGATTCTCAACCGTAATCACTTAAGCATTTTACATGCCTAAAGGAGAAACCCAAGGTCATTTCTATAATTTGTTTGATGTGAATTTTGAGTTATAAAGCAATTTATATTACAAGTGTTCAGTACAGAATGGTGACAAGATGATAAAATGAGGAAGGTGAGGACTGCATAATGTACAAACCATATAAATGAATAAGCAGTGTACATGGCATTTCATAGAAGGTATGGAACAAAGCCTAAAGCACTACTGTGCATACAATAGAACCAAAGGTGCAAACAAGATCATCTCTATGGTTACAAAGAACTATCAGAAAGTTGTCTTGTGTTATTTATATATGTAGAAGACAGCTGAGGACAGTATTTTACATTCTATATTCTCAAGGCCACATTGATGATTTTGCTTGGCTGTAAATATATACAGTAAACTTTATTTTGTATCATCAGTTTTGGACCAGAGATATTTACAGTGTGCATTATTTGGATTATATTTATTTTGAGCATGTAGAAAATAATTCTGCTAACAGATTGCACATTACCTTATAGGCAATGGTAACACACTACCATCAATGAATTCCGGGGAGGAAATGATTTTACAAAGGGAGGAAAATGCATGTAAAATGCATGCAGAATGCATATTGTGCTGTGTTAAATTTTAATGCACTATATTAAAAAAACATTGAGGTTGATTTACTAAAACTAGAAAGTGCGAATCTGTGCAGCTATGCTTGCTAGCCAATCAGCTTCTAACTTCAGATTCTTTAATTAAGCTTTGCAGAGATGAACCAGATGTTGCACTCTCCAGTTTCATTAAATCAACTCCACTGTCCTTTTTTTTTTTTTTTTTAACAAAACACATGTATGCATTTTCTTATGTGATCATCTGTAGGCAACTCCACACTTTATTCTTTGGCATATTGTTTTTTTTCAAACTATATAGCAGTCTTGCTTCTTTATGATTACATATTAATATGCTCAGTATATTTGATGGCATACTTTGCTTTTTTTATCATGTCTTTATGTTCTTTTTTTTTTGTTACGCTTAAAGATAAAACAAACGCTAATGAATATTACACTATCTGGGCATTATATGCATTTTTAGACAAGGTAGATAGAGCTTTGTGGCCTGTAAGACCTGCACATGAAAAATAACACACTAGAGGGATCCATTGGGAATATATTACAGTAATCCTACCATTTAATTTCCCACAAATACCAGAACAAATAAAATATGTACACATAATTGTTTTCCTCTGCTTCATATATATATATATATATATATATATATATATATATATATATATATATATATAAACATTTTTTTAAATGTGTTTCTGGGTGTCAACATTGTTAGACAATATTTTAGAGCAAATACACCATATTTACACTGTATATGCAGCATACCAGATATAGAGTATGGTCATTTTTAGCATCACAATACAACTTTGAAGCGATGCTGCTTTTTTAAATTAATTAACTTTTTTTTTTTGGGGGGGGGGGGGTTAGCAGTAAGGTGTGAGTGAAAGACCAGAGAGAGATGTATATTATTCAGTTGTCTATGTGTATAACCCAGTCCAACAGTGACCTTTAAGTGATTCAATTTCCTTTTCTAAGAGCATGTTTTTCAAACTAGAGCACAGTCTCAGGAGCCACTGAAGCTCCTTGACATTATGTATAATCATTTGAACACATGTACTGACATTTGTACTTGGTTGATAATGGACTTCTTATGTGAGTAGTGTGTTTACACAATGCCAGTTCTTGTATGAGTGATCGGCTGAAGCACTTTCATATACATGGAAATAAAGATAAGAGATGCAGTCTTATAATTATAAAATGAAGTAAATATACAAGGTGAAATTACACTTCTGCAATTCAACAAGTGTTCATTAGGAAACAGTTAAAGCAGTATTAAACCCCAAACCAAAATGTAATATTTTGCAGCTTAACAATCATTAGAAGTGGTGGCTGCATTAGTTCTCTTTTGTTAGGCTTTTTCCTCTCTGTTTTCACCTGGTGATTTGGCCAGTAACACACCTCCTGTATTAGAGAGCCCCAATTCTGGAAGAAGGAGTAATAGAGATAACTTTGGACAGGAGCATTGTCAGTCTGGGGGGAGCAGAGTGTCAGATGTACTAGCAGAGTTAGATGCATTAACAAAATTGAAGCCAAACTCCAACTAACACGTTATAAAACAGTTACAGCAAACAGTTTTTTTTTCCTTTTGGTGTAAAGGTTTTACGCAAATAAACAATAGCAGATTGTTGTAAGAACCCCTGCTTGTGTTAAATGGTTTGTTTCATCTCTGTAACAGATACATTCTACCAGAACGTTTGTCCTTTTGGAAAAACAGCCATCACAGAAGAATTGACAAGCTGCACTGTATAAAATGTTGGCTTTTGGGTTTAATACTGCTTTAACTAAAAAGTTAGTATCAGTATGCAGCAATAGTCAAAATAACTGAAAGCAAATTAGTTACCTTCTTTTTAAAATACAATAAAGAAAGGTATATTGAATTCAAAGCCGTAAATATAGGACAAGTATATTTTCTTCTCATTAAACATTGTTTATACATTAACTGGTTCCACGCCACCCTATAGCAGAAATACTGCTACAGGACAGCACGGGTGCGCAAAATCATGTATATATACATGATTTGCAGTTCTGGGTAGGGTGCGCATCCTACCCGCGCCGCCATTCGGGGCCTCGGCTGTCAATCACCGGGTCCCTGCCAGTAATTACTCGCTGGCACCTGGTGATTCGCCGAGTATCTCAGACGAGGGAGAGACCGGTGTATAAACAACACAGATCTCTCCCCTTGTCAGCTCTTCATAGCAGAGCCATACAAAGCAGTGTGCTTACAGTGAAACACAGACACAGCCCCTGTCGTAAAACAGCACACAGTTAACCCTTTGATCGCCTCACATGTAAACCCCTTCCTGCCCAGTGCCATTAGTACAGTGTCAGTGCTTTTTATTAGCACTAATCACTGTATTGGTATCATTGTGGATGTCAGTGACACCAAAACAGTTCCCCCCCAGTGTCAGAATGCCTGCTGCAGTCCCACTATAAGTCGATGATTGCTGGCATTACTAGTGAAAAAAAAAAATTCAAGTATCTATACCGCCATTTGTAAACAGTATAACTTTCACGTAAACCAATTAATTTACATGTATTGGTATTTTTTTTTTTAGCAAAGACATGAAGCAGAATACACTTTTGCCTACATTTATAATGAAAATTGATTTTTAAAATTTTTTTTACTGTGCAAAAATATTGTTTTTTTTTTCGCAAAATTGTCTTTTTTTGTTTATAGCACAAACAATAAAAAAAACTGCACAGGCGATAAAATACCACCAAAAGATAGCTCTATTTGTTGATGGAGAAAAAAAGGATGTAAATTTTATTTGGGAGCAGCATTGTATGACCGTGTAATTGTCAGTTAAATTAACACAGAGCTGTATCGTAAAAAATGGCCTGGTCAGAAAGGGGGGAAAATCCTCTGGAGGGCAAGTGGTTAAAGTGGTTGTAAAGACTCAAAGATTTTTACCTTCCCAGATGTACGGCATTTGCCTGCAGTTAATAAATGTACCATGCAATCCAGTTGCAATGTGTTTCCAAAAGTAGTGCCTGCACTACTTTTTGGTGCGATTTGAGCCCATTCAAAATTAATGGGCTTAAATCACACTGCACTGGATCGCATGTGAATTGCAAATTCGCTGTGCGTTTCTGTACACATCATAATGTCAACTGGGGCTTAGATTTATTTTTCTTCTTTTAGCTTAGTCTTAATGTTGCCTGTAAGTTAAAAAACTGCATTGTCAAAATAATTAGCCGAACTGTCTTTCAATGCTGAGGTCCTGGGTACATTTGCCCACCACGAGCATTTTCTGAATAAAGCTTCTATGGTTTACTTGTGTGGATGGGTTTTTTCATGATGCATCAATTTTCTTCCGCCAAGAACAAATGTTGTGTCAATCACTGTTCTGGGAAGTAAGCATTTAGGTAATTGGGATTTATGTGAATGTAAAGCACAATTCCTGTAAAAAAAAAATGATTTGGATAGCATGTGAAGTGATTAGAAGGACTCCCAGGTTTAAAATGTTATCTGTCTCTCCCTATTTAGGCTATTGACCCTAATTTTGTGTTTTGTCTGGGACGTGTAACCTAGACAAGAAATCAAGGAAATTCTCTTCAGTTGGGTCATAGACAGCAATAAAACTTATTCTAGCCCTTACCCAAAAAAATTGTTTATATCTCTTATATTCTACTCAGAATATGTGGCTTTCAGTTCAGAAAAATAAAGACATTTCAGAGATGCCCATGTGATGTCTTTTTAAACAATTTCTATATCCATATCCAGGGGCGGACTGACAACTCATGGGACCCCCCGGGCAATAGGGGATCATGGAGCCCCTTTGTCCTTTCTCAAACTCAAAAAAGCCTATGAAAAAGGTACCAGGAGCTTCTCATGGGGCCCCCTACTGACCCCGGGCCCTCGGGCAGTGCCCGAGTTTCCAAATGGTCAGTCCGCCCCTGTCCATATCATATAGAAATTTACAGGTAACATTGCCAGACCTGGTGAGCATTAAGGGCAGTTGCTATTTTTAGAGAAATGAGAAATTCAGAATATGATACATTTTCCTTTATCCAAAATTTTGCCAAAAGTGTGTCAATTTTGTTGAATTTGTTTCCACTGCCTGAGATTCTTCCAGGTAGGTACAGATGTTTACCCTACTGAGTCCTGTTTGTAGGCATTAGTGGAACACATTTCCCTGTAGGTTACATTATTTAACAAACTAGTTAATATCCAGAAGACAATATTTTCAATGTTAAGAATTATTATGTTCACAATAAGAGTTGCAATACTCAGTTTTCCTAGTAGTTTTGACAAAGGGGCTGATTTTTTTTTTCCATTTAGTTTTTTATTCAAAATATTTTAAATTTACAAAAGTCCATAAAGAAAAAGAATAAAGTACAAAAACACGAGCAGATCATAATATACAGAAGCAAACATACAATGTTGCAGTACCAGCATGTTATGAATCCAGCACTGTGTATGAGATAGGGTAGAACTAGTATTACCATGCAAAACAAAAAAACATAAAACTTTGGGATATCTCTGCCACATCCTCCAAACCTGTGGCAGGCACTCATCAAGAGTGCCAACTATGCCCATGCTTTTCTATCTCCTCCTCCATTCATTGAAGCTGCACTATAGCTTCTATCAATGAAAAATATATCTATGAATGGGTGAAGGGCAGATGAATGAAAGGAATACCTCTTCCATTTAAAGTACAGCTTCTGTGAATTGAGGAGGGGTGTGTGTAAAGAGTCCTCATTGTTGGTACTCTTGATGAGTGCCTGTCACATGTCCCTCGGTTCTTTTAACCCCTGCAGCAGCAGAAGATTACAGTCGTAGGAGATTGGGGGAGGGGAGTTGAAGCTCAGAAGATTTCAACTCAAGCATCAGCCATTAACACAGTGGATTCTTTATATGTATAATAAGTACAGTTTTTTGTGCATAATTTTTTAAAAAAAGTTTGACAAAACTTGGGCTTTAAGTTACTACTTCTCTTTCAATCTCCATTGGAGAGATTTCTCACTTGCTGTATCAGATACATAACATAAAGTTAATAAAAGGTAAAGTATATCTATGAGCAAAATTTATATTTTCATTTTCCTGAAATTCCAGTGAAAGCTGGGAGAATTCTGCTTTCACCAAATGGTCAGTCCGCCCCTGTCCATATCATATAGAAATTTACAGGTAACATTGCCAGACCTGGTGAGCATTAAGGGCAGTTGCTATTTTTAGAAAATGAGAAATTCAGAATATGATACATTTTCCTTTATCCAAAATTTTAAAAGTGTGTCAATTTTGTTGAATTTGTTTCCACTGCCTGAGATTCTTCCAGGTAGGTACAGATGTTTACCCTACTGAGTCCTGTTTGTAGGCATTAGTGGAACACATTTCCCTGTAGGTTACATTATTTAACAAACTAGTTAATATCCAGAAGACAATATTTTCAATGTTAAGAATTATTATGTTCACAATAAGAGTTGCAATACTCAGTTATCCTAGTAGTTTTGACAAGGGGGCTGATTTTTTTTCCATTTAGTTTTTATTCAAAATATTTTAAATTTACAAAAGTCCATAAAGAAAAAGAATAAAGTACAAAACACCGAGCAGATCATAATATACAGAAGCAAACATACAATGTTGCAGTACCAGCATGTTATGAATCCAGCACTGTGTATGAGTATAGGGTAGAACTAGTATTACCATAAAACAAAAAAACATAAAACTTTGGGATATCTCTGCCACATCCTCCAAACCTGTGGCAGGCACTCATCAAGAGTGCCAACTATGCCCATGCTTTTCTATCTCCTCCTCCATTCATTGAAGCTGCACTATAGCTTCTATCAATGAAAAATTATCTATGAATGGGTGAAGGGCAGATGAATGAAAGGAATACCTCTTCCATTTAAAGTACAGCTTCTGTGAATTGAGGAGGGGTGTGTAAAGAGTCCTCATTGTTGGTACTCTTGATGAGTGCCTGTCACATGTCCCTCGGTTCTTTTAACCCCTGCAGCAGCAGAAGATTACAGTCGTGGGAGATTGGGGGAGGGGAGTTGAAGCTCAGAAGATTTCAACTCAAGCATCAGCCATTAACACAGTGGATTCTTTATATGTATAATAAGTACAGTCTTTTTGTGCTAATTTAAAAAAAGTTTGACTAAACTTGGGCTTTAAGTTACTACTTCTCTTTCAATCTCCATTGGAGAGATTTCTCACTTGCTGTATCAGATACATAACATAAAGTTAATAAAAAGGTAAAGTATATCTATGAGCAAAATTTATATTTTCATTTTCCTGAAATTCCAGTGAAAGCTGGGAGAATTCTGGGACATTTTGCAATTTTGATCATCTGCATTGGGGTCAAAGGAGAAATCAAAACTAGGGTGTTTTAGGAGTAAAAAGATGTTTCAATTGCTAGCAAAATGTATGAATGCTCTTTTCAACTCAGGGAAATTCAGCATTTTGATCATCGGCATTCGAGTCAAACGGAAAGGCAGAAACAAAAGAGTTTTGAGGGTGAAACATTCTTAAACTTGCTCCTAAGGGTTCTGAAAAAACCCTTTTGACTCTCCTAGATCTGTGCTAGTGCCGAAATAGTAGCCTCTCATTAGCTCCTATATAGGTTTTACACAGAGGAATATCTATATCAATCTTCTCATCCCTGTTGAAGGGAAATCCCTCCTTTAAGAACTGTCAAGGAACAGGTGTCCCTATTGGGATATTTCCCTTCTGCTCTTGTTTCAGTGACAAATATGACAAAAAAGCAGAAATATCTATTAACAGCTAAAATTTCAAGCAGACAGTTTGTTCTAGTGCATAGCCTTGTGCATATCAAGCTGCAAACACTGTTCTTTGGGGAAAAAAAAAAAAGATTTTTACATATTAATATGTGGCCTTTCTGTCATGTCTAGCCCTCCCAAGTGTTTCAGTAACAACTCTTCAGAGAAATTAGTTGTAAACATAGCGAACTATGAGTTGTGGCATATTTATCATTAGTAATTTAAAAGGCAGTGTTTCCCTGGGTTATAACTGTCATGCAGATATACGGAATTTTGTTTTCGGTTTAAGAAATAGCATAACGTTTGAAAGTACAAAGGCATATTAAAAGACAGATCTTATAAATAATTAAAACAAGTTCTCTGAATAAACTAGCATAATTGTTTAATTTGTTTACAGGCTCACAAATTCAAAGCTATTCCCACCCTAAAGTAAGCTCATCTTATATTCCTAAAAATATTATGTTATTTTTTTATGTTTATATTGTGTGTGTAAAATATTATGGCTAACTTGAGGTTTTTTTCAACAAGTGAGCTTTAATATATACAATTACAATATTCTTCATTGCTACAGATATTTTCATTGAATGATAAAGTGATATTAAAGGCAATTAAAAAAAAAAAAAAAAGCAAACATGTCATACTTACCTGCTATGCACAGTGGTTTTGCACAGAGCACCCCCGATCTTCCTCTTCTTGGGACTGCCGATGGTGTTCCTGGCCCCTCCCTACTTCCACGTTCCCCACAGCAAGCAGTTTGCTATGGGGCACCCAAGCAGGCTCTCTCCTGAGCCACTGCTCTGTGTGTCTATTCACGCACGTGATCTGAATAATTGGATCCCACTGCTGTCTCAGCCAGTGAGGATGGAGAGTCTCTGGAGAGCCAAGGCTCATCACTGGATCATGATGGGGCTCAGGTAAGTATTGGGGGGGGGCTGATGCACACAGAAGTTTTTTTACCTTAATGCATAGAATACATGAAGTTAAAAAACCCTGAACATTTACAATCACTATAAAAAAACAAACACATATACTTACCTAGTGGATGCAGCATTGGTGCATCTGTCCCGTTGCAGCCTCTAAGCCTGAGGACTGAGTGATCAAAGGCTGCTGATCACTCAATTCTGAGTCTTCAGTGAGCAGAGAGAGGAAACTGTCAGTAACCGGCTCTCTGCTCTGCCCCTCTAGTGCTCACTGGATCACCAGGCTATGGAGGGGGCAGGAACAGCTGTCCTAGTACCCCAGGAGCTCGCTGAGAGGTTGAGCCAGCTGTCAGCCAGGAATCTGGATGGATCCCGACTTTAAAGCCAGAGTGTCTCCAGAGCCTGGACTGGCTCAGTGACATCAGCCAACAGTGAAAGTAGGGCTAAAAGAGCTTTAGTCCTAGTTTTCCTTTAAAAAGCAGTCCACAGGCTCGAGAAAAGGAATTGTGCCAAAGCTAAAGTGGAACTGAAGTCAGCAGTACTTACTTCCTGCAATTAAATTCTCACAAATTATTTTGTCACTGCCAACATTTTCACCCCTTCTTCTTCTGGGTTCAGCATCTTTGGTCATCTTGATTGGGTGGACTGGAATGGTGTAACTCCTGTGCATGCTCACAGTAGTTAATTCATCCTGGCACCAAGACATGCCAAGAATAAACACTGACGCTTGCTAGCAGGAAAGAAGTTTTTTTTGCAGAACAGACATATAGGGGTTGATTTACTAAATTTGGAGAATAATCTGGGGCAGCTCTGCATAGATGCTCTGCAGCTTCCAGGTTTTATTGTCAAAGCATAATTGAACAGGCTGATGTTAGAAGCTGACTGGCTGCAATGCACAGTTGCAAAAGATTTCCAGTTTTAGTAAATCAAGCCCAACAGATTCTAATACTCTGTAATAAAAACCTTCCTACTAGCATTTTTTTCTACTAAAGAAGAACAGTCTGGAAGAATTATGTCATCAATCTAATGCAGGCAGAAGGAAGCATCTCAGCCTTCTCTCCTCCATTGACTCTAACTATAACGTTCTCACTTTGCTTTCAATTCACCATGTAAGATACATGCGGCATGAGGAACTGACCTGTGGGAGACAACATGCACCAGGATATACAGTACATGATTGTGACTTCTATGGAAAGGGTCTTAATTCAGTTAATGCCAACTCTGGATTGTATCTAACCAAGGATTGCACTGTCATTCTGGGTAGAAAGAACAATAAAGGCATTGGAAGAGGAAGTACTGTGATCTCTTTACAAGGTAATTTTCAC